TGACTCTGATCCACTACTACTAATACTACTAACATGATGGCTTTAATGTTTCGGAATCTCATCCAGAAAGTAGATTCAATCCACCTCACGACCACTCCCAATCATCCTCTTTGACTCCAAATCCTACAAAACACAATTACCAGGAAGGAAAGTCACTGAACATTTCAAATTTCTTGTTAGAGAACTCACAGAAAGAAGATAAGTATGGAGTCTAGGGAGATGTCAGATAGAGGATAAAGTAATGTCATCAGTTACTTTAGTTGTCCCTTTCCCAACAATGGGAATATGGGAACTATTTGCTATAAAGACTTTGTCACTACCAGAGCACAACTGGTAAGAACTGAAAAGGGTAGATATATTGGTCATGTGCTCAGATGCTCTTGAGTCTATAATCCAGGGAGGTCCCTCCTTACATGAGATAAATGCATAATTTGCAACTACATATGAACTACCTATATAAGCAAAGGAAGTAGTGTGATTGGCTTCTGCACTCTGTTGCTTGTCCGAAGAACTAGAACTAATTGAATACTTCTTGTTCATAATGTCCATAGCTTCTCCAATTCAGTTCTAACTACTACTACTACTACTACTACTACTACTACAATGGACTCCAAGTCAGCTTGGGTAAGAGGTCCCGAAGAGTCTCTTGTAATTGCCACATTTGCATTTCCCTTCTTGTTCTTGACTTGAGCTGGTATGAGATGTGGGTAGAGCTTCCAACAAGTGTCTCTGGTATGCTTAGTCTTCTTGCAATAGTCATACACCAAGTCCTTCATATCCTCCCTCCTAGTCTCACTACTCCCCCTATCTCCATTTGGCTTAGATTTGACTATACTAATCATAGTTGACTAGTCAATCCCAGATTGTCTCAACATGACATTCCTCCTACTCTCCTCTCTAGAAATAAAGGCATAAGATTGAGAAAGAGTCATACTTTCTTTGGAAATGATGTGTTGCCTGGCAATATCAAATTCAGGGTTCAATCCAGCCAAGAAATCAAAGACCCTATTCTTCTCCACCAACTTCTGATAAGTTGTTGCATCCTTCATACTCTCCTAAACCACAACCACTAAGTGATTTACCTCCTGCCAAAGTGTTTTCAGCATGGAGAAATACATAGCAAGAGGTTTATCTCCTTGCTTTGTATTAATCACCTGATTCCTTAATTGATAGGCTTTAGCTACATTTTGTTTCTGGGAATAGGTTTCAGTCACTCCATCACAAATCTCCTTAGCAGTATTAGTCCACAAAAAATTTTTACCAATGTGAGGTAATATAGAATTACGCAGCCATGACATCACCATGTAATTCTCTTGTACCCACTAGGAGGAATTTGTATTAGGTTTCTTCTCCTCCCAGTGATGTACCCCAGTTTCCCATGAGAACCAATGGCCATCTTGGCTGATTGTGCCCATTCTAAATAATTTGTACCATCCAATTTCACTGTGGTAAGAATTCCAGACCCAAAAATATCGCTAGGACCTCCTACACCCAGACCCGTGTTACCAGTGGACTTTTGCTCAGTACTCCAACTCTCCACTTAAACTTCAAACAATTCAAAAACAAGAAAAAACTAGGTAGAAAGCCTCCAAGATCAAATCGATCTCACACACAAGGGTAACAAACCCTTCCAAAAGAAGAAAAACCTATCCTGAGAGAAATCCCTCTTCTCCCACTCTAGAAGGCTCAAAAACTCCCAAAAACCAAACCACCCCTTATATAAAACCTACAGAAGTCCAACAAGGTCCAAGCGCCCAATAATAGATAAAAAATGAAGAGTCCAACTTGACTAGGACTCTTCCCCACACTCCGGTTTTTCCTGATTTTGATGCCAAAACACAGATCACCCTCTGGATGACTGAAACCCACCAAAAAATCTAAGAACTGGGCAGTCTGAAGTATATCGATCAGCCCTTTATCTCCTCATGCAAATGGCTGATCTAGGACTGCATGGAAGAACTCCAAGAAACCCTAGTCTTGCTCTGATACCAAGAAGAAACTACTGAATCAAAGAATCTGTAAAGAAAAGAGATATTTCTTGAAGAAGAAGAGAAAGAGAAGAGAAGAGATTGAGAAAGAAAAGAGAGCAATCAGTTCTGGTCGCCCTCCTCACTAGTATTTATACTTTTAATTAAGAAAGGGTACAATGAGCAATATGCCCTTATAGGGTGGCTAACACATAAAACTGCATAAATAATTTAAAAGAACCACTAAAAAGGGCCCAACAAGAGTGTTGTGGTTCCCACTTCCTATCTAAACACATAATAAACAGAAACAACTACTAAATCTGCACAAATCTTCCCAAAAACCTCAGGAATCATGGAATAGGTTCATCAGAATATATAATCTGATGCCAGTGAGTTTCAAAATGATGGAACTGCAGGCCATAGAAAGGCTTTGGTAGCTCAAGCCCTATATGCAAAAATTCTCTGATTTCTCTCAAGCCCAGACACCCCAGCAGAGGCATCATAGACTGACGACACTTTCTTACTGAAACCATCATTTGGCTGAGAGAATAAACCCTGTACATCCTCCAGAACCACACATTACAGACCAAAAAGCTGTACAAAATGAGACCAAGGTTGTACGTAAAAGAGCAGTGACTAGTGGATCAAGAAAATACACAGGAACTTTAATGTAATATTAGATCTATTAGGAGTAATCTTGTAAATTTGAATACATGAATCTGGATTTTAGAAGATCATCAACAGAACCAGTTAGAAGAAGTGATTTGATACAAGTTCAAGGGACTAGAAGGGCTAGGGATAGACCAAAAAGGGCATGGGTAGAAATAGTAAGAAATAACTCAAGCACTAATAATTTAGCAGTGGATATGGCTTTTAATAGAATGGACTGGCGAAACAGGATTCATTTAGCCAACCCCTATAGTTATGAAAAGGCATGGACGACAAAGTGTGTGAACCCGGCTAAGTAACCAATAACAAGTGAACACGCCAGTGTTTCATACACAATTACACATGGGGTCCACATCCACATGTGGGTCCCATGTGTACAGAACACTGACATGTTCAAGTTAACCAAGTTCTCACATTTGTGTTCATAGCAGATCCTGTGTGTATATAAATAGTGCCTCTGATTACTGAAATATAAAGAATGTCTCCCATTATATCTTGGAAAATCATGAAGGTTCTGAGAACAATTCTAACTCCAAATTTGGAGCTCTAAGTTTAGTGAAGTTGTTCAGTATTCTGAATGTTGAAGCCTCTTAAACATGTGTGTTTTATAGTTTTAACCCCCTCCCCCCTGGCTGTATGGATGTGGGCCCCATGTGTATGGAACACTGGCTTGTTCACTCATGATTGATCACTTAGCCAGGTTCTCACATTTGTGTTCATAGCAGATCCAGTATGTGTATAAATAATGACTCTGATTACTATTATATAAAGTTTCCCATTAGATCTTGGAAAATCAAAAAGATTCTGAGAACAATTCTAAACTCTAAATTTGGTGTTCTGAGTTTAGTGAAGTTGTTCGGTATTCTGAAATCCGAATGTCAAAGCCTCTTAAACATGTCTGTTTTACAGTTTTACCCCCATCCCAACTACTTGGCTGCATGAATCCCGTTTTGCCGTTCCATTCTGTTTATTCCATATCCAATGTTAAATTATGAGCACTTAAATCACTTCCTATTACTCCAACCCATGTCCTTTTTGGTCACCCCCTAGCCCTTCTAGCCCCTTCAACTTGTAACAGATCATTGCTTCTTATGGGTGCAGTAGGTGGTCCTCTATGTACATGACCAAACCATCTGAATCTACTTTTTTTCATTTTATCACCTATTGGAGCTTCTCCTAAGTTCCTTCAAATGACTTCACTTCTAATCCTATCTTTTCTAGTTTTCCATTTGTCCATCTCAATACACACATTTCTTCCTAGGTTTCTAACACTCTGCTCCATATCCATACAGCATAGCTGGCCTTACAATTGTTTTATAGAATTTTCCTTCTAATCTAAGTGGTATTCACCTATCATAAGGTTCCGGATGCACCTTTCCATTTTACACATCCTGCTCTAATTCTATGAGCAACATCATTAGAGATTAAGTTTTAGGTTCTTATAATGGGGATAAGATAATTGGATGTGAGATAATCATTGAAAGTATTTTATGGAGATTGAAGCTTTCTATGGTTAAAGAATGCAACCTTTTCTGTTAATAAAATTTTCTATTTCATATAAAAATATATGCTATATAATTATAAATCTATTTTTACATTATATATAGTATAGTATAGTACATGTTAAGGTTATGTGGACTTCTGTGGTCAATGACAATTGGATATGAAATAATCATTGAAAGTATTTTATGGAAATTGAAGCTGTGTATAGTTAAAGCATGCAACTGTTTTTTTATCACTACCATGCAGCCTTTTCTGTTAATAAAATTTTCTATTTGCTATAAAAATATGTGCTGTGCAATTATAAATGCTACCACCCATGGGTCAACCCTAACCCGAACATTTAGGGTTAGGGTCTAACTACCAAGCACCCACCCAAACTAATCAAAACATCAAATCATGATTTTTTTTTTATTTCTTTTGAAGGGCCACTCAATGGGGGTAGCCCATCCCCCAACCCATAACCCCCCCAACCGGGGTGCAGGCAGGATTCGATCCCAAGTCTCTGCTATGACCAGCAGGAGACCTTACCAACCAGTTGGTTGGCACCTTGCAACATCAAATCATGATTTCAACCATGACAAACTGTAATTTTGTTTTCCAATTATTTTCATTTTGGAAGATCTATGCTATGATAAGGAGGAAAATCTACAAAATAACCATGTTGAAGTATTAGTGATTCAAGAGAGGATGAATTGCATAAGTAAATGTGAACCGGAACTGCATAAAAACTAAGGCACACCATACCATGCATAGCCATTGATCTAGAATATAATACTAATACTATCTATCAAAATCATTAAAAAGTTCCAAGTCTGCAAAGAGTTTGCTTTGGTTAATAGAATATAAATACACAGTACGTACAAGAAAAAAAGCAACATGCCGATGACCCTTATCAGAAGCAAGCTGGGAAGGAGTAAATCCAGCATTATCCTTGACTGTTAATTCCTGCTTTGTGCCTGCATGTACAAGTACCGTGCATACCTCCACATTTCCTCTTATTGCAGCCCAGTGCAGAGGTGTGCATCCTGACATTGTAAGACTATAAACATTACTCATCATAAAGCGTTAATACTTACATAGGTAAGCCAGCATTTGGTCATTGATCATTACCAGTGCTGTGAAAGTGTGCCAGCTTACCTAGAGGCTATGCTCAAGGAAAACACCTTTAGGCTCAAACTGGAAAATATAGTGAGGCACTCCTCAAACCATATTATGCCATATGTTAAGACATATTTCATACAATAGTTGAACTAGATTTCATTTCACAAGACCAACCTGAAGATTTAATCTAAGTTTATATATATGGCTACCAGAATGTATAAGCCACTTCTCACACCATATTGTGTTATGTCAAGACATGCATTTCATACGTTAATTAAAGTACATTTTGCATCAGAAGACCAATCTAATGAGCAAATCTAAGCTTATACATATGTTCACCCACATGTTTGATCTAGCTAAGAAATTACTTTTAGTAATTTCTTTGAAGGGGCCTGGCAGACCACTTTTCTTTTCTTCCCTTCCCTTTCTTTTTCTCTCTTTCTTCCTTTTTCTTTCCCTTCCCTTCCCTTTCTTTTCTTTTCCTTTCCTTTCCTTTCCTTTTTTTTTCTTTCTTTCAGTCTTTTTATACGAGGTGTGCATGAGGCGCATGAGGTGTACACCTCTAACAAGCCTCATGTAAAAAGCGCATGAGGCGTGCCTCTTGCACCTGAGGCATATGCCTCATAGGTGTCAGCACCTCTGGCATACACCTCAGGGCATTTTGGGAGCGCCTCGCCTGGAGGCACGCCTCCAGGCATATGCCTCCCACACCTTTCAAAACACTGCTCTGTTCAAGTCCTGTTCCTGAACTGAAATTAATTCAAGCAACTCAGCCAGACTATCAATCTCCCAATCCTGGAAATTCCTCTGAAAGGCAGGGTTCCACACAATAGACCTCCCAATCAGCTCAAAGCAATCTGCCTCCACTGCTTCCTTATCTTCTGCAATTTGAAACAACAGAGGGAAGAGCTCTGAGAGTGAACTGTTGCAGCACCAGGGGTCTTTCCAGAAGGCCAACCTGCTTCCATTACCCAACTTAGGATTCGGCCCTCTACAGAAATTTGGGAGGATGTCCATTATTTTTTTCCAAATTGAATAGCCTAAGGTGGGAAATGAAGATGTAGTTATCCAATCTCCTCTGTCTAAACCATATTTTGCGGCAATTAAACCTCTCCACCACCTTCTCCTTTCCACCCCAAGCCTCCAGATCCACTTTACAAGCAGAGCCATGTTAAATACCTTCAGATTCCTAACCCGCAGGCCACCATTCTCCACTGGAGCACAAATCTGGTCCCAACTAAGTAGATGAATCTTCTTCTCCTCCTCCCAGCCCTTCCAATAAGAAATCCCTCTGCAGCTTTTTAATTTTTTTGGCCACTTTCCCTAGTATGAGAAACAAAGGCAGGTAGGAGGAAGGAAGATAGGATAAAAAACTTTTCAAAAGCATGATCCTACCTCCAAGAGAAAGATATTTAGCCTTCGAGGAAGCAAGCTTCTTTTCCAGCCGCTCAGCCTGCTCCAAAACTGGTTCCCAAATCAGAGTCAAAGTGCATTTGGTACCTTAGAGGGAGGTCCAGGTATTTAATAGGCAGAAATCCCACTTGACTAGAAAGGACCTCAACCAATTCCTCAATGCTCTCCACATTCCCCACAGGAATTAGGCTGCTTTCCCCCAGTTAACCTTCAGGCCTGTTACAACTTCAAACCAACTACCAACTAAGTACACCCAAAAGTACTTCTAATTGTTGAGTCTGTGCATCAATGAAGCACAAAGTGTCATCAGCAAATTGGAGCACCAGAACTTTTTCACCACTTAAAGCCATCCCAAAGCCCCACCTCTCCCACTCGATCAATGAAATTGGTTAAAATTCCCATCAAGCATATGAACAGGAGGGAAAGAGGGTCCCCCTGCCAAAGCTCCCTTGAGCTCTTGAAGAAACCAGCTGACTTCCCATTTGAAAGGACAGATAAGTTAGGGGATGTGATATAAACTTGAATCCAAACCTGACCAAAATTCATTTTTTCAAGGACAAAGTCTAACCGTCTCCAGTTAACATGATCGTAAGTGTTTTTCCAAATCAAGTTTACAAATCAGAACAGGCAACACCAATCAGCAGAGGCCTTCTTACCCAGCTCTCTTTAATACAAATCTCAAACTAAGGATTATTTGATGGAAACAACAAGTCAAAGTAGGAGCTTTGAATGGGTAATGTTTTAAGCATTTTGGTGGTCTTGTGAACCTTTTTTTTTTTGTTCACGATTGCATGTTTTAGTAGTAGATGGCTTTCTCCATTCCTTCTTTCTTTTTTTCTTAATTTTAGCTAAGCAAATTTTTCTACAGTTGGATGGAGAATCTGTATGGTAATTCTGTTGCATTTAAGCTTTCCCTCTTTGTGGTTCTGATTTTTCCTTTTTAGTTATATGCTCCATGTACATCTCTTATATTGAGTTTGACAATAATAAGAAACTTTAATTAAAAAAGAACGAAATATAACTTATGTTAGTAGAAGATCAAGATTGTAATCAGTCTTGAATCCTAATAGGTTTTAGGTTTGCAAAACARAAGAAAAGTGAGAGWAAGGAGAGAGAATAGAAGAGAAACAAGAGAACACAAGTTGTTGAAAGGAGGGACAGATTCTAAAAACAGATCTGCCGCCGCCACTCTCTTAATATTTATAGGTT